GATGCCCCGCACTGGAATGGACACGAGGAGCGCACAGCGCAGGGGGGAAATGTGCAGGGGAGAGTCGTGCAGGGGGGGGATGTGCAGGGGGGAGGCGTGCAGGAGGGAGGAAGTGGGGGGCTAGGAGGTTTTGAGACGTCTCAGCAGCAGTCACGTGGACAGGAGGAGCGCACAGAGCAGGGTGGACATGTGCAGTGTAGAGGAAGAGAGGGGCTAGGAGAGGAGAGGGAGATGGAGGAGCGGGGGGGGTTGCCGAGGGATGGAAAGGGTGCTTTGGATTGTGCAAGAGGGGGAGGAGGGGAGCAGAGAGCAGGGGAAGGCAGTGCAGGGGAGGGCAGCGCAGGGGAGGGCAGCAAGGAGCGCATCTTTGTGTCGATAGCGAGCTATCGCGACTCGGAGTGTGTGTGGACGGTCAGAAGCCTCCTGGAGAACGCTGCTGTGTGGCAGCGGGTCACTGTGGGCATCGTGTGGCAGGTGGGTGGACGGTTTGAGTCACAATTGGACTCGGACTGTGTGTGCACGGACAAAATATGTGGTTAGAAGCGCTGCTGTGTGGCAGTGGGTCACTGTGGGCATTGTTTGGCAGGTGGGTGGTTTTGAATCAAAATTTGACTCGGAGAGTCTGTGTGCACTGCACAGTCAGAAGCCCTTTGGAGAGTGCTTCTATGTGGCACAGGTGACTGTGGCCATCGTTTGGTAAGTGGGCGGGAGGCCGAGCAGCGTGCATGGTTGACTGGTTGTTGACCAATTCAAGCTTGGGGTGATTTTTGAGGTGCCTCAAGAATGACAGTGATGGTTGGTTGGGCGGTTCAAACTTTCCCCGGTTCAGCCACGGGTACCTGCTGTTACTGTCGTGACGTGACGACTATATCTTCCTCCCAGCACCGCCTATATCTGCTGGCACCGTTCCTTTTCCGCTCTTCACCACCTTTCACCACTCTTCTCCACCCTGCCCCGCTCTTCTTCACCATGTGCCTCTCAGCTTAGATCGCGGAGGAAGACCGTGCGGTCACCACTGCAGCGCTGCTGTGCTCCCTGCCGGCCTGCTACCACACGCAGATACGACAGGTGCGCCTGCCTGCCACTGCACCCGGACTCGCAGCATTGTTACACTGCACTGCACACAATGCTTGCTCCCGCTGCAGCGCTGCTGGACTCCCTGCCGGCCTGCTACCACACGCAGATACGACAGGTGCGCCTGCCTGCCACTGCACCCCTCACATGCCCGTGCACACACTGGTTGCTCCACCCACTGCACTGTAACAATGCTGCAGCTCCCTCTTTGTTCACATGCTCCCGTGCCCCCATGCGCCCATGCCCCCATGCGCCCATGACCCTCGTCTCTCATGCTCCCACGCTCCCTTGCGCCCATGCGCCCATGCGCTCATGCGACCATGCTCCCATTTTCTCGTGCGCCCGTGCTCCCATACTGCATGTCATGTGGCAGGTGGTGCTACCAGCATGCATGGCAAGGGGTCCCTGCTGGGCGAGGGCCATAGCGCAGCACATGTGGCAGGGCGAAGAGTTCTACCTCCAGGTGGCTGGCAAGTGTGCATCAGGTCGATGCATTCTTCTTTTTGCTGTGAATATGAGAAATCCCAATATTCACACACCCATGTTACCTCTCGTCTCTCCATCGTGCTCATCCCTCTCAGTTGAGCCGGAATTTCTTCCACCATGCTTTTCCACTCCTTCTCCACTCCTCCCTTCCCTTCCCTGAAATCTAACCCCACTCTCCCTTCCTTCCCTGCAACCCCTCCTCTGGCCCCCCTCTCCCTGTCGCCATCTCTCCATCCCCTTTATAACCGCTCTTCCCAGATTGACTCGCACATGCGCTTCGTGCCCGCATGGGACACCCAACTCCTCTCCTTCCACTCCCGTGCCTCCCGCCCTATGTTGCAAAATACGCGTATGGCGTACGGAACGCGTACGAACTATACGGTATCGTACATACGCGATACGCAAATTTCCAGCGTACAAAAAACCTCGAAATACGGTGCGTCGGGCAGGTTGAAATTTTCTAGGGCAGGGAAAAAACATTTCAGTTGAGGTAGAATGCTTATAGGGAAAGAACTTCAGCAATACTTGATGCGGATAACTCCCGTGGGGTTTTCGCCAGTACGAAATTGTTGGCTAGAATCGTCCTAATATTGCGGTTGCTAAAATCTGCAAGTGACGCGACGCCGCTGCTAGCAATAGCAGTAAACTTGGAGTGAGCTTCGCTGTTGTACTCACGCCGACTGGCGAGCAGCTTGTAAGGGAAGGTTGGGTTTGGGAGGTGGTGTGAGGTGATGTGCGGTGGAGGGGAGGGGAGGGGGGCATTCGAGTTTCGAATCTCAAAATTAGGTTTCACAGAATTGCAGATCGCGGAATCAGCGGCAACAGATTTTTTTCTCTTTTTTTTTTCGCCTGCCCGGATTTACGTATCGCGTATTTGTCCCCGTTTCACGTTTTCACGTTTATACGTGAACGCATATACGTGAAACGTAAAATTTCCTAAGCGTATAGTGCAACATAGCTCCCGCCTCGCTCCCAAGCCCATCCTCTCCTCCTACCCCCCTGGGTACTTCGGTTTGGGCCCTTCAGCTGTCATCCCCCCTGTAGACGCCTCCTCTGCTTGCATCCTCCTGTGCGCGAGCCATTTCAATTCCCCCATTTTCATCTCCCCCTACCCTTCTCCCTCCTTCCAATCCCCCCCTCTTCCCAGATTGACTCGCACATGCGCTTCGTGCCCGCATGGGACACCCAACTCCTCTCCTTCCACTCCCGCGCCTCCCGCCTCGCTCCCAAGCCCATCCTCTCCTCCTACCCCCCTGGGTACTTCGGTTTGGGCCCTTCAGCTGTCATCCCCCCTGTAGACGCCTCCGCGGCTTGCATTCTCCTGTGCGCGAGCCATTTCAGTGAGAAGGACGGAATGCTTAGGATCAAAGGCAGACGGGTGCGCAGTGAAACATGGGGGAGAGATGGAAGGCAGGAGAGTGGTCGGAGTGGGGGGTCTGCGGATGCTGAGGAGGGGACAGGGGAACGGGCGGGAGGAGGGCGAGAGAGGGGGTTAATAGGACCAAAAGAGGGAGATGGAAGTGACGGGACAGGGGAAAAGGAAGGAGTGGGAGGACAGGGTCAGGTAGAGGAAGAGAGGAAGGAGGGAGGGGCGACTCAGCAGAGAGGGGTGGGTGAGGGTTCTCCTGTGCCGTCGCTGTTCTGGGCTGCTGGTTTCTCCTTCTCCCGAGCATCAGTCATTCACGAAGTATGTATTTGTTCTGTGCCATGCGTCGTCCATATGATTTACCTCCACACCTCCACACCTCCACACCACACCTGCATACCTCCATATCTTTGAACGTCCATACCTTCGTACCTTCACGCCTTCCGCTCTCTCTCTCCACTGTCTGCCAGGTACCCAACGCTCGCTCTCCTTCCTCTGCTTTGGGGAGGAGCCCTTTCCTTCCTTCTCCTCAAAAGATGCTCCCTTTGGCCCCTTGCCTGTCTGCCAGGTGCCCTACGACCCCTCGCTCTCCTTCCTCTTCTTCGGCGAGGAGCTCTCAATGGCACTGCGTCTCTTCACGCACGGATATGACTTCTTCGCCCCGCCTCTCCCTCTTGCCTTCCACCAGTGGTCCCGTGCCTACCGCCCCTCTCTCCCCACTGTTATCGCCCCCTCTCTCACCCCCGCACTCGCGCCCACTCCCGCGCCTGCACTTGCGCCTGCACTCTCATGCTCGTCACCATCTTCGATAAAAGCAGCTGCCAAGGCAGCCGCCAAGGCAGCAGCACAGGCGCGGGTTCAGCTGCTGCTGTGCCCCCACGGGGCAAACAGTGCAGGGTGCGAGAGCGGGAAGACTGGGGACCAGCAGCAGAGCGGGTGCGAGGAGAGGGAGAGGGCAGCGGCGGTGGTGGCAGTACAGGGTGGGGGGGAGCGGCTGGAGTGGAGTGTTGTGCCTTGGACAGACGTGCATGGCAGGCCTCAGGGCACAGTCAGGGTTCTCATGGAAGCTGCTCCTGCTGCTGCTCCTGCTGCTGCTGACTGGCGCTTGTGGTGGTGCTGCTGCTGGTTCTGTTGCCGCTCCCTCTGCAGAGCCTGCTGTGTTTGCCAGTGCTGCCGCTGGCTGCTTGCAAGTGGGGGTGGGGGCACAGCGCACGGTCCAGCAGTTTATAGAGCACTGTGGAGTGGACTTCTGCAGGAAGGTGGTCAGTGAGCGGGCCAGGAATGGTGGTCTTGACGCCTCGTGCTTTGTGGATGCTGGTGGTGATGGTGGTGACGAAGCTGCTTGTTGAGTTGAGACCCTGCTGCTGACTCCTGCGGTGGTAGATGCTTGGTGCTCTCCCTGCTTGGTGATCTCCCTGCTGTCTCTCGTTGAATTCACAAATACGGATGCGCTTACATGGGTGCCAATGCTGCCTGCGGAAATGGTTGATATATGGAACATGAGATGTTGTACAGGGTAGTCACAGGAACTGGTACGGGCTTTACACACTTGCTTCATGGTCAGGTACAGATTGCATGTGTGTGTGCTGTGATCTTCTCAGCGGCTGATGCATGCATTCCCTCTGCTCAATCTAGATGCCCTCGTGCAACAGGCAGCACGATGGCACGAGAGGCAATTTCCCTTTCAATCTCCGCATACTCTGATGTTTCGTTTCACGTAAGGCATCAAACGAAACATTGAAACTTCAATAGACGGTACCGCCACACAGCAGGAACAATTGTTTTGTCTGATTTAGATTGGAAAATCAGATGGATATAAAAAAACGAGTCTGAAAATCAGACCATCAGACCAAAATGGTCTGATAACGAGAGCCCTGGTACAATGAAGTGGCACAGCAACTACTTCAAAAGGGGTGTCAGCAAAGGCCAACTAATGTGCAAGCCTCAGAGGCAGCTGCGTACTGGACGGGCAAAGAGGGGAGGCGGGGAACACATGGTGGCAGCAGCAACAGCTCCTCCTTGCTCCACACCTAGCCTTGGTCCCAGACCTAACCCAACGTGTTGCAGGTGCCCTTCAATGCGGCAGCAGAGGAGCAGCAGGGGGATGTCTTGGCCCAAGTGCCCCACCACCTGATGATCGCGAATGCACAGAGAAGGAAGGGAGAGAGGAGCGGAGAGGAGAGTTTTTTTTTACGCGCCTAAAACAACGCGGCAGCAGAGGTGCAGCAGGGGGATGTCTTGGCCCAAGTGCCCCACCACCTGATGATGCGCGCAGGAAAAGGGGGAGAGGAGAGGAGAGGAGAGGAGAGGAGAGGGGAGGAGGCAGAACAGGGGCATGGCAAGATGAGGAAGCACTGCGCTGAGAGAGCAAGACACGCATGTACCAACCCCAACCCCCACCCCCCCTTCACTGCCCCTCCCCAACCCAACCCCCCTTCTTCACTGCCCCTCTGCCCCTCCCCAGTTCTCCCCCTTCACAGCCCTCCCCTATGGTGCACCATCATGCCGCATGGGAGCCCATCCACCCAGCCAAGGGGCATGGAGACCACAGGGTGACCTGTGACAGAGAGAGGCACTGTGAACGACCTCACCGCAGGGCACGTGGGTATGGGACCTGCCTTCCCCCTTCCCTTTCCCTTCCACTCTCCCCTCCCCTGCCCCGCTCCCCAACCCCCACACAAGCTCTCCCCATTCTGCTGTCCTCCATTCTTGCCCCTTGCCCTGCCCTGCTCTGCCCGCCCCTGCCTTTCTCCCCACCCTCCCCTGAGCCCCACCTGCATGCCGCATGGGAGCCCATCCACCCAGCCAAGGGGCATGCTGACCACGGGGTGACCTGTGACAGTGACAGGCACTGTGAAGGAACGTAGAGCACGTGGGTATGGGACGTGCTGTGTCTCCTGCTCTGCTACCTCCTGCTTGTTGCTGCTGCTGCCGCCGCTGCTGCCGCTGCCTCTGCTGCAGCTCATTGCGATTGTGAGCGGTGAGTGCTGGGGGTTGTGGGGGAATGGTAAGACAGAGGCGACTGCAGGGGCGGGAAGATGTTGCAGAAAGGAGGGCGAGTGGAAGAGAGTTGAAAAAGTGGAAACGGTTGGGAAGGTAGAAAGAGAGGAGAAGGAATAGGAAGGCAAAGCAGCAAGCGTGACAGGCAGACGTAATTAGAAAGCAGCTTGAGGAACGGAAAGACAGCACCAATTAACATCTATTCCTTTCTTTCTCAAGTCGGCAACTCGAAAACTAGAGCAGAGAAAGCGGGCACAGCACGGCACCTGGTAGAATCCAAGCAGCTAGTTGGTTCTCTGACATGAACGAATCCACCACTGCTTGCTGCTGCTCCTGTGTCCTCCGTGCCTCTGCCACTTCAGCTTCCCACTGCTGCTTTGTCGCCTCCTCCCGCTGCTTTGTCGCCTCCTCCCCTTCCATGCCATCATAGCTGCTCTTCCTAGCGCTGCGCTTGCTCCCTTGCATGTGAGCTGATGTGATGTCCTGAGGCCGTGGAGCGTGGCGATGCGCTGCAAAGATGAACGCCTGGAGTCAGTCACATGCAATGCAAGAGAGCCGTAGGGTGAGGGGCAAGCAGAGAGAGCAGGTGAGTTTTGAGTTGACTCGTAGAGATGACGAATTCTCAAAAGTGAAACATTTGACCGAATAACTTCCTCTTAGAAGATAATTCCATCTATTTAGTACTGTTGGTTTTGTTCGTTGGAATCTACCTCCCCCCCAACCTTTGACTGCGCGTGAACCTCACGACCCTGCGACTACCTGTGCACATGCCTGTGCACATTACCCACCCAGTGCCCACCTTGGATGCTTTATCTAGAGCTTTGAAGTCTAGACTGGGAGCCTCCATGAGTACAAACTCCACACACTGCCCGTTCTCGTGCTGCTGCTGCGACAGGTGTTGTTGCTGGCAGTGCTCTCTGCACGCGCTACCAGCAGGAGCACTTGCAGCATCCAAGCAAGCTGCATCAGCAGCAACGGCTGTAGCAGCAGCGCCGGCTGTAGCAGCAGCAGCGCCGGCTGTAGCAGCAGCAGCGCCGGCTGTAGCAGGCTTGGAAGTTGCGGCAAGAGCTTGGAAGAGAAGGGAGATGCGCGAGTCGATAGGCGAGCCGGGGAGATGCGGGGTCACAGCCACGCGGAGAGGAGGAGGGGCAGAGAGGGGCGGTGGTTGAGGAGGAGGAGAGGGGCGGAGGGGGGGTGGTAGGCGGGAGAAGACAGCTTTCATTATGAAAAGTAGATCCCGCATGGTGCGCTGTGGGGAGCAGGGGGGAGCACGGGGAGCAGGGGAAGCGGGGGGAGGGGGGGGAAGGGGGCGGAGGGGAAGACGGAAGGGAAGGGGGAGGCGGGTGGGGAAGGTGACGGAGGCGAGGACTGAAGCAGGGAAAAAGAGAAGAGGAAAAAAAAAAAAAAAAAAAACCGAAGTGGATACAGAACGACAGCAGTGATGGCAGAAGGTTTCCAGAAGCTTATGGCATAGGGCTTGGAGAGGTGAGGCTTTGAGTCGTGTGCGCATGGGGATTGGGCAAGAGTGTGTTAGGAAGAGTGTGTGAGGAAGGAGGAGGGACTGACAGTGAAGACGCCGTACGTGTGCAGAGAGGAGAGCAGGGCGAGCGAGGGGAGAGGCACGTCTGTGGCAGAGGCGAGCACAGGCCAGCGGTCGCGAGAGGGGCGCAGGGAGCAAATACCGCAGAAGGACGCCTGGTGGGGGGAGGAGGGGAGGGAGTGGGAGGGGGGAGAGAGTGGGAGGGGGGGAGGGAGTGGGAGGGGGGGAATGTCAAGTGAAAGTGGGTGTGGGTGGAAGAGAGGGGCGGGCGGAGGTCATGTAAGGATGTGTGGGGCATGAGTGTGGGTCATGTAAGGATGTGTGGGTCATAAGGATGCAGTGGCGGAGATGCAGTGGCGGAGATGCAGTGGCGGAGATGCAGTGGCGGAGATGCAGTGGCGGAGATGCAGTGGCGGAGATGCAGTGGCGGAGATGCAGTGGCGGAGATGCAGTGGCGGAGATGCAGTGGCGGAGATGCAGTGGCGGAGATGCAGTGGCGGAGATGCAGTGGCAGCGATGCAGTGGCAGCGATGCAGTGGCGGAGATGCAGTGGCGGAGATGCAGTGGCGGAGATGCAGTGGCGGAGATGCAGTGGCGGAGATGCAGTGGCGGAGATGCAGTGGCGGAGATGCAGTGGCGGAGATGCAGTGGCAGCGATGCAGTGGCGGAGATGCAGTGGCGGAGATGCAGTGGCGGAGATGCAGTGGCAGCGATGCAGTGGCAGAGGCAGAGCAGCAGCAAGAATGAGGCACTGACAGGTAGTCTAAGGAGCCCTCGAGGTCAGTCCCGAGAGCGAAGGGCACCATGCCTGCTGCCACGGCTGCTGCTGGTCCTTTCGAGACGTCTCAAAAAAGTCGTGTTTGCTCGGTTGTGTGGCAGGGTGGCAGTGAGGCACTGACCGGCAGACGAAGGGAGCCCTCGAGATCAGTCCCGAGAGCGAAGGGCACCATGCCTGCTGCCACCGCTGCTGCTGACCCTGATGCATGCACACACGACAGAAGAAGGGCGGAGGAGGGATGGGGAAGAAGGGATGGGGAAGACGGGATGGGGAATGGGGGAGAAGAGGCATGCGAGAGTGTGTGGAGTGAGTGAGGGACAGTGAGTGGTGAAAAATGATTGTATGGCACAGTGGGGCATGGCATGGCATGTCACGCCACAGCACGACACAACACAGCATGGCATGAGAGAACGAAGGAGTCACCTCCCGAGCTTCCCCTGGGTGTGAGGGAGCGGTTGATGGGGTTGCTGGTGACATGGCACAGTGGAGCCTGGCTTGGAATGGCATAACATGCCATGGCACGAAACAGCACAGCATGGCATGAGAGCACGAAGAGTCACCTCCTGAGCTTCCCCCTGGTGTGAGGGAGCGGTTGATGGGGTTGCTGGTGACACCGAACAGGCTGTTGAACGTCTGAAAGTCCATGGATAGCTGTTTGGGTGGGGGAGAAATGACAAGGGATGGGGATGGGGCGGATGAGGGGGTAATGGGGGTGATGGGGATGATGGGATGATGAGGGGAGGGGTGATAAGGGGGTGACGGGGATGACGGGGTGCATGGCATGCATGGCACTCACATGCGGCACGTTGGTCTTGCCGATGGGCACGGCACCGAGTGATTGCAGGAGAGAGACAGCGGAGGCAGAGGTGGGAGGGGCAGGCTGGGCTGCTAGACGCTCGTCGCCACACGCTGTGGGCATACCTGCCACGTGCACCAGGTCTGGTGTGTGGGAGAGCAGGGGCGCATTTGCGTAGACTTAAGTTGCGTCATAGCAAGGGATGAGGGACGAGAAGGGAAGATGCATGCGCAGAACGGGCACCTTTGACGAGGAAGGGGACACCCTCAACACGCCGAAGCTCAGTCTCAACAGCAGCAGAACGAGTTTTGAGTCGACTCAAGACGAGAAGGGAAGATGCATGCGGAGAATGGGTACCTTTGACGAGGAATGGGACACCCTCTAGAGGCCGCTCGACGGAAGCAGCAGCATCACCACTTTCAGCTGACGCTCCAGCTCCTGACGCGCTATCGCCTGACGCGCTATCGCCTGACGCTGCTCCTGAATTTACTCCTACAGCTACAGGCGTCGCAGGTAGCAGCGGCGGTGGTGGTGGAGTCGCGCGTGCGAGGTGGCAGACGGCGTTAATCTCCGGGTTCAGCTGCACGCACTTGCTCCGGTAGTGCCGCTCTAGGGATTGCCGCGACACCCGGCCGTACCGCACCGCGGCCGCCATCGCCGCCACGCCGCCGTCCTGATGACGGCAATCACCCGGCGGCCGGCAATCACACGGCCGGCAATCGACGCAACTGCGATGGTTGCAGCAGGCGGTAGGGACTTGGCAGCAACGCTCGTGTGAAGGGCTCGAATGGTCGGCTTGAGAGGAGCGGTGCGATAGGGAATGGCCGGCCATAGCGCATGGACGTTGAATCGCGCTGCACGACCGAGAGGAGTGAGGAATTTGCGCGCGATGCGCATAGTCGTGCGAGTCGTGCGAGTCGTGCGATGCCTACTGGAGCAAGAGTCCAGCAAGGGGTAGTGCGAAGGGGCAAAAGCATAGGTGGTGTGGTAGGAATAGCTCGGTGTAGAATGATTCGTTTTTAACACGATCTGACAGCGGATTTGCGGAGAGCTTTTTACTCTGTAGAAAAAACAGCCCGTAAATATGAAAACGAGACAGCTTACGTACATACTTGTTTTGGGGTTTCCACCACACCCCATCCCACAGCACCACCACGCCTTGTCTAACGAATGAAACCTGCCGCTTGCCCTAGCAGCGCACACAGGCAACACCACTTGCGCGGATCGCGCGCCATTAGGAAACACTCGCTCCTCCGTTCTTCCGCCTCCTCACTCCAGGTCCGGCCGTCGTGCGCGCCGCTTTGGCGGACTCTCAAAACTGTCTCCAAGTCCGGCCTACGTGCGAGCCGCTGCGTCATTGCCGTGATCATCTCGGGGAGGCACATCAATGGCGCTCCAGTGCGCAAGTCCTCTGATCTCCGCGTCCACCACCCGCCATGTTGCCATTCATTCACAAGCTTCGGACTCAGTTAGGGAACCGCCTCTTTATCTGACATTCCCCGGCCGTGCCTCCCCGCGATTCATGGTCCGCTCACAACTCCCCGTTTCTTCGGAACTCTCGCGGGAAATAGGGGTGAGGTGCGATAGTCGGTTTGGTTCAGGAACGCCTGTCGACCGGTCCCTATTCGGAAGAAGCGGGGGAAGCGGGGGAAGCGGGTTAAGCGGGGAGAGATGGCACGACGGTGCGCGCAGATGGGAGGGGCTCCGCGCAGGCGCGAGCAGCGGTAACCCCACCGCGAGCGGCGGCGGGAATCCCGGAGGGTATGCGTATGGATACAGCAACCGGCCGCCACCGAAGCGCACACCGACTTATGAAGAGTGAGTCTTCCTGGTTACCTGGCTGGGGTGGTGCCGCGGTGCCGAGTTTTGACACGTGTAAAAACATATATCGTCTCTTGGCTGTGGTGTGGTGTGTTGGGCTGAGATAGGAGGGAGGAGGGAGGAGGGAGGAGGGAGGAGGGAAAAGGGAGGACAAAGGGCGGGCAGGTTCAGCAACGCATGGGGGAGGTGAGGGGCCAGGATGAGCACGATGCTGGGATAAAAATGGCAGACTGACCCCCACCCCACCCACATACGGTAACTCCCTGCCCTCCCCCTGGCCGCAATGAGCAGGCACTTGGAGCAGCGTATGGGTGAGGTGAAGAGCATGCTGGGTGACAAGTTCCAGTTTCACCTCCCCCACATAACCCCGTGTGACCATGTCCTCTTGCCTTGAATCTCTCCCCTCTTTTCTTCCCTTGGCCCCCACGTGCCAGGCAGTTGGAGCAGCGCATGAGGGAGGTGATGAGCATGCCGGGGGACGAGACGAGTTCCAGTTTGACCTCCCCCACATAACCCCGTGTCTTCTTGCCTTATTCTCCCGCTCCCGCCACCACTCTCTCCCTCCCTTGGGGCCCACGTGCCAGGCAGTTGGAGCAGCGCATGAGGGAGGTGATGAGCATGCCAGGGGACGTGGCGCGGCGGCTATGGCGTCTCATCACGGAGCAGCCAGAGGAGTTCCGCCTCGTGCGCTTCCCCTCCTGGAAAGAGATGGTCAGTCCCTCACTCGCTCACTCACTCACTCACTCACTCACTGCTGGGGACCAAAGCGTGGGAAGGGAAGAAGTTGTGTTCAAGGGAATGGTTCTTCATGCTTGTCATCGTGGCCTTGCTTTTTTCCCGGCGTGCATTGTTGCGCTGCTCGCCCGCGTTCCTCGGTTGATTTTTCTATCCTCCCTGCCGCTGCTGCTCCACCTGTCACCTCACCACCACAATTCCCAACCAGTCTCGCCCCCATTCTGGCGGCTTTCTTTTTGGGGGGTTTGTTGGGCGGTTACTTGGCAGGCACGGCATCAGTATGGTAATCTCACTGCCGTTTTGTCTGTCCCCTCGCCCTGCTGCTCTCTTGCAGATCACAGTGACATTGCTAACGTTCCTCTTTATTGTCGTCCTCATCATCTTCATCTCGTCTGTTGACACCGTGTTGGCACGTGTGCTCACTCCTCGCTTCAAGCCTGCATGAGATGTACCACTAGTTACCATTAGTTAATAACATTCTTTTCTTGTTGAGTGTATTCATTCTTGCGCTCAATTCTGTGGCATTAGATACCAGGAAACGTGTTCTGTAGTACCGTAACTCAGCGGTTCAGAGTGGCAATATTATCCACTATCAGCACAAAAGCATAAGCTACCAACAACGGCCTGCCTATGTGTATTATGGCAGGCGCCTAACAGGTGCAAGACAGGGTAAAGCACGGCAGGGCGGGGCAAGGTATAGTCTCAGCCTGGGCAGGGGTCTAGAAGACTCTCGTTCTACAGTGGCAGGAGGAGCACGGGGCAGGGAACGAATTCAGCGAGCAGGTTGCTATCAACGTGCTTGTGGTGAATGGCCTCCATGCTCATCACCACCAGGTCCAGCTCCAGGTCGTCTGCGATCTCCCCCACCACTGCTGCCGGCATCTTGCCTTCCCCCAGCCGCTCCAGCAGCGAGAAGTCCGAGAAGCCGCCTGGTGGAGACGCGAGGTGGAAACACGAGAAGCCAGGGAGATTTGACAGGGGCAGTTGGGTTGGGAATGAGAACAACAAGGTGGGTGGGGTTATTCTGAAGGGTCTGACAAACGAAGAGGGAGGAGGAATAGAGAAAGAGGGCCCACGTGGAACCGGGGGAGAAGGGCGGATGGAGTGGATTCACGTGACGTGATGACCAGGTGAGAATGCGGATGAAAAGACAGACAGCGCAGGGTAGAACACCAGCAAAACCCTGCCTCAGACTGGGCAGACTCTCGGACAATTCGAGGGGCCTGCGCTGTGCAAGGTCAGCCGGCAGCCGCATACACGCTCTGCATATGCGGCTGCTATGGTGTCTTGTCTACTAGAACGTGCACTCGGATAAGGCTGGATGGGGGGGAGGACAATCTGATTTTCTGTCTAAACCTGGCTGTGTCCTGCTTGTCCTGAACAAAAGCGTTGTGTGTGCCATCCTGAACACACTGTGCGCGCCCGAAGAAAGCTGACATCGCTAGACAAAATCTGCTTTAGAGGGTTTCGGTTTTCCCCCAGATCCCCCACATCGCACGCAGATCGACTGCTGGCCCCGCTGCGCTGCGCACTGACCTTGCGCGAGGTGGAAGCGGATGCTCTCGAGGCGCTGGTTGTGCTCGTCCTTGGTCTCCGACTGGTCCTCGTCGATCACTGCACCACACCACACCACACCACACCACACCGCACGAACCAACGCCGAGATACAGCAAGCATGCAGGGTAGGGTGTCAGTGTCCGCACAACGCACGTTGGACGAACAATCAGATGAGCAGAAAGTCAGCTGGTTCCGAAGGTGCGTCTGTAGCCATCGACGCACAAATACGGCATATACCCCCTTTCAAGAAATCCCCCTCCTTCACCCTCAACTGTCCCCCCTTGCGAAATAATAACGATGAGACAACGTACCAACGACGGTGATGTCGGCGCTGCCCTTCTTTGCCATGGCGGTGGCCGTAGCGATAGCCTGATGATGCACGCACACACGCACGTGGAGACGAACAACGGGTCGAAATGGTTAGAAAAAGACGAGCTGATCGAGATAAGAGGAGGGAGCAGTCACAACGAAAAGTACAGCGGTTGGCATTTGCCAACTTAGGCTTTGCGTGCAGCATTTCAATTGCTGAGAGTCCGCCAACATTGGTACGGGCCGCAATTACAGCGTCGCTCTCGTTTTCCCCGTTGTTCGAACCTCCAAAAACGCAATGTTTGTATCCCACTTTCAACCATCATCCGTAAACACCATCTCAAATAAAGCCAGCACTCTTCCCCCCTTTTCCCCTCTCTTCTCTCTCCCCCCCCCCCCCCCAATCCCCTCCACAAGAAAAACGAAATAGTACCTGTCGTGTAGCTTCGTTCAGGAACGGATTGCGGTCCATAATGGGGAGAAGGAGATGCTTGTACGCCAGAGGGTCCTCCGCCGTTGATGGTACAGTCGCCGCGGCTGCGGCCGGTGCTGCATCTCCAGCGGCTTCGCCTTCGGCTGCGCGAATGACCACGCGACTCCCTGCAAACGGAGGGGAGAGAAAGGAAATGGAAAAGAAAACAAAAGATACCGCGATGAAGGAAAGTTGGGTGAAAAGGCGCGATGAAGGCTGAAGGAGGCCAAGACGAGAGGTAACTTCTCAGAAGGTTTATGAAATTATGATTTGATAACATGACATGGTAGAGATGGGTTCAGAGTGACGGCGGTAATAAAACTTACAGGAGAGGGAACAACAAAGAAAGACAGGTACTTACTTTGCGAGGGCAGCCGAGTTGATGGTCGGCAGAGCTGCGACAACGCATCGCATCCATGACGGAGAAATGTGTGTTTTGTGCTTCCTTGTCTGCGGACGGCCACGGATGCGGGACCAGCCGCCATATACGCGGCCATGGGCACGGAGACACTGTACGCTAGAACCTCCATGTTTTTCTGACAAGATAAGGCAACGCGGTTTCAGGAAGGCACTTATCCAAGCTGGAACAACTCAAGACAATAGAAAAGCTAGTCGAGCTAGAATCCCGTGAAACTGAGAGCGAGATAAAATGCAGTTCTGAATAAGAATTGATCGAGCAGCCTGGAAGGGGGCACCTGGACCTGAGAAATGAATGTAGAAATGTGAAGTGGCTCTGGTTAGGGAATTTTTAGGAGAAATCTGGAATGGTCCAAAATGGTGGCGGTGATTGCCGCTGGAACAAGCACATAGGGCCATTGAGAAGGAGCGCCGATAGAAGGTGCCAGAAACAGGTCAACGAAAACATATAATTTCATGCAATTTTCGTCACGTTTTCGCCAGTTGACTCTGCCTAGATAATGGGTTCAGGCGAGTTCTATCGAAAACTTGGATGCTGGTGTTCGTTTCGTTAGTTACACCACAGTACCATTTCTGGGCAAGGTTACAGCTGGTTGCCTTGTTGGCAAAGTAGATGCGAGTGACGTGGGCCACCGGGCCGACCCAGCTGATCCGAAGGTTGGGATGATGTGGCTACCCAATTAGCAAGCAGCACGAGTTTGGTAATTAGGTGGCAGCTTGCCACGACATCATAACTCATAAAGTCACGACTTAATATCAGCAGGGGTATCCTTGATCCTCTGCATAGACCCTCATGCACTTTATCAGACACAAACACTCATTAATGCCAGTACCCTAGCTGCTATGACAACAACTATGTCATTGATCATGCACAATACATCACAGCCACAATGAGCACGTGATTAAACTTCTTACGCTCACGAACCACGCTGGCCTCTACGAGCATTCGGATCTGTAAAACACACTGCATTAATGCCTTCTCGTTTACATGCAACATAGTTATGAAACTTCGTATAATAGTCTACAGACCCTTCAAGTCCCCTATACATACCCATCTAGCATGCACTATCATTCCTACAGTATATGTCGTCTCTTTTCCCAAACTGCCTACCCTCCTCTACCCCCTCTATCTGACCTGCCTCCTACACCTCTGTGATCCCTTGTACCCCCTCTACCCCCCTCAACTTGCCCGTGGTCCCCTCTACTGTCTCCCATCCCTCCCTAACCTTTCTGCCCAATACATTCCCCACTACATGTTGCCCAACCCTCAATGATTCCCCGAACTCAACCCCACATCCTGTACTCCCCTTTGCGCCCCCCTCTCTACTTCCACCTTCATATGTCGTTACCTACCTCCCTCTACCCTACTCTACCTCCCTCTACCCTCCTCTACCTCCCTCTACCCTTCTCTACCTCCCCTCTACCCTCTTCTACCTCCCCTCTACCCTCCTCTACCTCCCTCTACCCTCCTCTACCTCCCTCTACCCTACTCTACCTCCCCTCTACCCTACTCTACCCTACTCTACCTCCCTCTACCCTACTCTACCACCCTCTACCCTGCTCTACCTCCCCCTACTCTCTCCTACCTCCCTCCACCTCCCTCTACCCTCCTCTACCTCCCTCTACCCCTTTACCATCCTCGACCCCCCTCTACCCCACTTGACCCTCCTTTACCTACCTATACCTACCTAGACCCCTCTCTGCCCCTCTCGACCCCCATGTACCCCCCTGTACCCTCCTCGACCCTCCTCGACGCCCCTCTACCCCCATGACCCATACCATACCTTCCTCTACCCCCTCCACCCTCCTCCCTTCCCCCCCCCACCCCGCCGCCCCCCCGCAACTCCGTCCTTCATCACAGTGCCCCAGAGCCCTCATCACTGCAGGGGGGGACACAGCCCTGGTCTAGTTGTCAGTCCTTACACAGCTGTATCACCGGCAGGCATGAGTACGCTCCTTACTCATGAGTGTGCTACTTACTTCTGTGCGGGGGTTGTGTGTGCCGCCGCCGCCGCCGCCGCCGCCGCCGCTGCTGCTGCTGCTGCTGCTGCTTCTGCACCCACTCACAACACAGTCTCCTCTGTTACCCCCTCAAACCGACACAGATGTGTGTTGTTGTCACCGCTGTTGCCACCGCTGCCGCCACCGCTGGCGCCGCTGCCGCCACCGCAGTTGGCACTGCTGTTACGGTCATAACTGTCGGCACTGTCGTTGCTGTCGTTGCTGTTGTCACTGTCATTACTGGATCGAAGCAGGCTGTCGTCACTGGTACGGAGAATACTACCCAGCTCACTACCAGGCAGAGAGGACCGCTCACTTGGGGACGAGGAGCAGGAGACAGGGGAGGAGAAGAGCAGGGAGGACGAGGCGGAGGAGGGAGAGGAGTGCGAGGTGTGAGAGGTGTGAGAGGTGTGAGGGGTTTGAGAGGTTTGCTCACTCTTCCGGTGGTGAGACAGCAAGATGAGAGGAGGCGAGGATGATTGGGGGAGAGGAGGGGTGGTGAGATCAGGAGAGTTGGAATCAGAGGACAGGAGGCTGGGAGAAGTGGAGGGAGAAGGAGATGGAGAAGAGGAGGGGTGGGTGGCGGTGAGAGAGAGAGGTGAATCAGCAGCAGCACAGCAAGTGGACACCCGAGGGGAAAAAACTTGCTGCTGCTGCTGCTGCTGCTGCTGCTGCTGCTGCTGCTGCTGCTGCTGCTGCTGCTGCTGCTGCTGCTGCTGCTGCTGCTGCTGCTGCTGTTGCTGCTGCTGCAGCTGCTGCTCCACCCACCATCCGGGATTCACAAGCAGACCATGGGTACACCACTTGCCACGCCCCCAATTCCTCTGACATCCTCTGCTTCTGAGACGTCTCAAAGGCTGTCAGGTCCCCATGCATTCTTCCTCTCCACAAACCAGCGTCTCTGTTGAATCCCCTTCCAGAAGTACTGTCAGACAGCCCAACAGTAGTCTCACCCAATAACGGCCGCCACCTTCCCCCGTCCTCGCTTCTCCTCCTACCCTGCCCCCTCCCTCTGCCACCACCACCACCGCCACCACCGCCACCAACACCAGAAGCAGCAACACTCCCATGCCTCTCGTTTCCATTTCGGTTCCAGTAGCCGTCAGCAGCACCCGTGCTTCTCCTGCTTCCCCTGCTGCCCTGCCTGCCGCTGCTGTTGCTGCTGCCACTGCTGCAGCTGCTATGAAGGGGGGAATCGGCACTGGAAGACTGGGACGCAAGGGACGAAGGAGGCAGAGCGAGAAGAGGAGGAGGAAGGGGAGGCAATGGCTGTGTCAGTGAGAGCCCACGTGAAGAATACCATGCTCCTCGCTGCCATTGCTCATTCCTTCCCCTACCCCTGCCCCTTCCCCATCCCCATCCCCACCCATTACCCCTTCCTCTCCCATCCCCTCTCGCACCCCTCCCCCGACCCTTCTCCCACTTCCCAGTGCCAGCAGCAGCATTTCCACCTAAAGAACAGCCCTCTCTTGCATCCCCACGCCCTCCTCCTCCCCTCCATCCCGTTCCTCGCTCACGCGTCCATACTTCCTCTCCCTCTCCTTGCTCTCCTCTCCCACCTGTGCTACCACCTCCCTCTCCTCCCCCTTCTTTAGTTCCACTGCCCAGCCAAGCTAGGCCATGTGTGCAAGCCATGCCAGGCATACACTCCTCTTCCCCCATACTCCCATCCTCTGCCTTCCTTTCCTCCGCCTTCCCTTCTCCTATCTCCCTCTTCCCACATTCCTCACCTTCTCCCTTCTCTCCCCCATCGCACCCGACAATTCCGTCTTCATAACCCTTCCCACCCTCTTCATATTCCTTCTCCTCTCCCGCCTCCATTTCAGCCCCTTCCGTACCTCCCTCCAGCACCTTCCCCTCCTCCAGCCCTCCCTCATGTATCGCTCTCTCCTCTCTCCCCATGGCCCTCTCGTCCCTGTCTGTCCTGCCCACTCCAGCCGCCACTGCGCCACACAACGACTCAAGAGCTGCCAACTTCTGTTGCGCTGCTCTTGCCTCCTCGCTTACCTCCTCACACCCCTTCTCACTCCCTTCCTCACTCCCTTCCTCACTCCCTTCCTCACTCACCTCCTCACTTTCTTCCTCACTCACCTCCTCACTCCCTTCCTCACTCACCTCCTCAATCCCTTTATCAGTCATCCACTCCCCCACACACCTCACCACAACTTCCCCCCATCCACGCTTCACCACATCACCCTCATCCAACGCAATCCGGGTACACGCACTCTCATTCCCCTCCGCACCACCTCTCACTTCCTCAGCCGCCAATTCATCATCATCATCATCCCCCATCTCTCCATCCCCCATCAAGTCGCCTTCCATCCCTTGGCTGTGTTCGCTCTCCTCATCCCCTCGCTCCTCATCTGCACAGGAAGTGCAATCCGCCGCCTCCTCCTCCTCCTCCTGCTGCTGCTGCTGCTGCTGCTTTCACCCCAGGCTCCTCGTGCTCTTCCCCTTTCATCTCCCATTCTTCTCCTCCCATGCTTCCGTCTTCCCTTCCTCCTCCTTCCCCACGGTACCGTCGAATCATGGCCATCAGACACCCCCTCATCGCCTCCCTCTCCCTCACCACGCCCACCAGTTTCGCCGACACAGCACCCACCACGCCACGTGCGCACGCCAGGTCATCCTCCAGCGCGTGCCGCTCAGATTCCAGCTCAGAAACGGCCCGGTCCAGCTCAGCAATCCTCGCATACGCCGCCACCAGCTGCACCTGCAAAGAGGCCACTTCTCTCCCCACCAGCGACAGCTCCTGAATCCTCCTCTGCGCCTCTTCCAGGCTGGCACGCAGCTGACATGTCGTCTCCCGCCACGTGTCAAGCTCCAGGCCCATCGCCGCCATGCGTGTGTTGGCACTCTCGACCAATCGGCGCGCTTCTGTCTCTTCTCGCTCCTTCTGTGTGCTTCGTTTCACTGCATCCGTCTCTTCTGTGACATCAGCCTTTCCCGCTGCCTCCTCCTCCCTCTCCACCTCTCCCTCGTCCGCCCTCTCCTCCTCGCTCTCCTCCTTTTCCTCCTCTCCTCTCTCCACCGCTTCTTCTGTTGCTGCATCTTCCTCCTTAGAAGGAGATAATAGAGAAGCCATGGAGATTCCAAGCGCCTCCATTTGTTTTGGTTGCGTCACCTTTTCCAGCTCAACACTCAGCCTCTCCGCCACGTGTCGCCACCGCGTTGCCTCCGTGACCAGCTCAGCATTCACAGCCTCCAGCTCAGCAATCCTCCGATTGGCCACATCCAGCTTCGACTGGATCTCCTCTCGGATCTGCACGCCACGTGCCAGCCGCTCCACCATCTCCTCCACGGCTGCCAGGTCAGCATCCACTTCAGCGTCCGCATCAGCAGAATTCTCGGCCCGTGTCATCTCGATGATGTGGCGTGTCATCTGCACCTCGCGTACGAGCGAGTTGACACGCTGCTGCGCCTCAGCCAGGGAGAGCTGCAGCCTGGCAACTTGTGCTGCCTGTGCTGCGCCCGCTGCCCCTGACGATTCCGCTGATTCCGCTGCTTCCGCGGATTCCGCCGCTTCCGCCACTGCGAGCGACGATGGCAGGGATACTGCCGACTTGCTATCCTCACACCCCTCACTCCCCTCATCCTCTCCGCCGAACATGTTCGTTACGGCAACCGTGTTGCTTTGTTCAGTATTCCCCTCCGTCTCCGCCTCCTCCTCCTCCTCCGCCTCTCCTTCACATTCGCTGCTCAGTTCGTCATCTGGCGAGTCGCCCTCATCTCTGCTGATCCGCGCGTGGCGCCCCTTGTCTTGCCTCCGCGCATCTCCGCCGTCCGTTCGTCGCAGGCGAGATGCCTGCCGCCGCCGAACCCGGCTGGTCCCCTCTCTCCGTCCGCCATTCCGCGTCCCGTGCCCGCGCTTCGGCCGAATGCCGCACAAGGCGCGCAGCAGCTCCTGCGGCGGCACGGGACGCATTTCACACAGCGCGGGACGACGAATTACGAGAGCATGGGTCATTAGCCTAACGACTCTCAGAGCTGTATGGCAACGGATCAGGGCCATTTCAGCCAATACAACACAACAGACGAGGACACGAAGGAGGGCGGCCAACGGCGGGGAGCAATTAATTGGGGTTTGGGAGAAAGAGATGCGGAGAGGTGGGGGATAGAAGAGGGAAAGGACTCCTCTCTCGGAGGGAGAGGGATCGGAGAGGAAGAAAAGGGGGAGGTACTCCCTGGTGTAGTTAACTTACGAGGCCAAAGCAGGGTAGTTGGTTAGGGTCACACTCCCCCTCCTTCTTCTCTTCTGTCGCGCGTGAAACCTGACCGCCCACAGCCTTGCGCAGCAGCAGCAGCCGCAGCACCGCCAGCCTCGCTAAACCGTGCCTCGCTACTAGCACCGAAGAAACTTCTCTTGCTGCCACGGCGGCGTTTCGCACCGTCAGCGCGAGCGTATTCGCGTCTTTCGCCGAGAACGGCGGGAGGTGCTCAGAAAGCTGCTTTAGAATCCGAGCTAACACCATGGATTGGGCTGGAGCAGCCTTTCCCCGCTCGCACGACGCGCACGACGCACACGAAACGCGCGGCTCGTCCGTCACCCCTTCGCCCGGAGCGTCAGAGTTTACGGTCGTCACAGCTTCTGCTGTAGCAGCCGCACTGACATGTGCCGCCATCCCCGCCACCTCTCCCGCCGTCGGTTCCGCCGCGACTTCCGCCGCCGTCGATGTTGGTGTTTCTCGAAGACTCTTCCCTTCGGAATCGGCCACTTCGTTGCTGTCGCGTGGTCTCTTCGGGTTGTTGCGCGCCGCTGAATCAGTAGCCGCAGCTTGTTGCCGACTTGTCGCTGCGGGGTCAACGAGTTGTTGATCCGCCGTCGTCGCAATCGTCGCCGTCGTCGACCGTATTTGTAACCCGCTCTCGCACTGCGACGTGACTCCATCGTGTCCGCCGGCGACGTCATCCGATGGCGCGTCGGCAACAGCACGATCCGCATTGTCGTCAGCTGAAGGGCTCAAGATGAGTCGCCAGTTGCCGCTCAATGCGTTATCGCCATCAAATCGTCCGTCGCGGCTGTCCTCCTTGTCGCATATGCGGTTATCCGTCAACGAGTGGTTACCAGGCGAGCGACATTCGCAATTATGACCGTTGGAAAAGAGCGGTATAGAAGCTGGCGCATCAGCAGCAGCACCAGCAGGATGGGGGGGAGGAGGAGGAGGAGGAGGAGGAGGAGGAGGAGGAGGAGGAGGAGGAGGAGGAGGAGGAGGAGGAGGAGGAGGAGGAGGAGGAGGAGGAGGAGGAGGAGGAGGAGGAGGAGGAGGAGGAGGAGGAGGAGGAGGAGGAGCATCAACAGCTCCTGCGGGCGTAACGGTTGCCGTGGAAGCAAGAGGAGCGCCAGTTGGTAACGATCTGCGATTGCTCGACTCCAGCAAAACGTCACGTTCCGAATGATTGCTTGAAGGGACGCCACCACACTGCTCGTTGTGCCGTGACGAAGCAGCTCGCGCGATGCGACTGTCCGAATCCGCAAAGGAGACGCCGGCACCAGCAGCAGCAGAAGAAGTAGAAGGGAGATTCTCGACGGGTGCGATTGAAGCCTCCGTCAGTGACGCCGAGGTTGACGTGCGGGTCGTCGCACGCGCGCCTGAAATCGCGCTTCTCGCAGCCTTGGCGGCTCGACCAACGCTTCGTAGAAGCTTGCGTGCGAGACGGTGAAACTGATGGCCAAGGCTTCGACGCTCTTGTACTTTGGCGCTCGTCTCGCGCGCGATATTCCTCTGGAATCCATGAATGTTCAACGACTCTCCCGTTTCTTCCGCGGCGGCAGGTCGCGGGCCCCTGCTTCTATTTCTGCGGCTGTCTGTTTGCCCGTCCCTCATTTTGCGCTCCCAGAACTCGTGTTCATCGCATGGAGAATGGAAGGGATATAGCCTTCTCTGGGATTTCTTTCTCTCGGGGTCCAAATCTGTGAAGTAGGCTTTTCGTGCTTGTTTCTAAAGAAGCAACGATGCCTCGAATTCTGGGATTTCAATGTCGACAGCTGTTTTGATGGAAAGACGCCGAAGGACGAGGGAGGGGCGAATTTTCACGTTCGTTCATTCATAAATTTCAGAATTTCCGCACCGCGTCTTCACATGGAATGGCTTGACTCGCTTTTTATTGGCTGGCTAACCATGACCGATATATTTCCGGAAGCGCACTGCCCGAATCATGTGGCAGCAGCAAGCAGTGGGTTTGGCAGGCACAGACGGTGCGGGCTGTGCGGTTACGATGCGCTGACCATGTGACGAAGACGTGGGTAGGTGGCAGGTGGATTTGGCATTTGTGGTTGGGAAGAGGAATATGGACGTGGCATGAGCCTGTGAGTGGTGCAGGACTAAAGTTCTGAGCAGATTTTGGGGGAGTATAGGGCTCGAAATCGCATTCCCGCCAAGTGAGACCTCGAGCGAGTCGAGGATCCGGGCGGCCTGGCAAATCCGGAGTTGCTGATGCGTCTCGAGAGAACGTCAGGCCCAGGACCCAGGGTTTAGTCAGGTGCAGCGATGTCATCAGCCCAGAAATTTCAGAGCCACTCAACTGACTGGTAGTACAACATTCGCGTTAGAGACTTTCGACTGGACGAAAAACAACAGGCACGCGTGAAACACACTTCTGTGCAGAGCGAAGCTAGACTTACAAGAATGATACAGGGGGTACTTCAAGATAATAAACAGAAATAGCATACAGTGACATGAATCATCTGAACTCTCATGTTTGTTTCCGAACAGCTCACAGTCGAGGATGTTATGTTTGCATCAACAAAACACCAGATCACCTTTCACATCATATTCACACACTAGATGCACTACATAGGCTAAGTCGCGGGATCCTTGATTTTTCCAGACCAGAGGCACGGTAAGAGCTCATTCTCCCAAATTGGCCTCCGCTTGCCTCCATCCCTGCGAAAGACGCGGCAAGAAGTGCAAGTTTGCGCGATTTCTGTCCTCCGCGACAGTGGTTGCTGCGATGGTTGCGCGTCGCGCGGATTCCACGCTGCGCCGCCTCGCGGCGGCGCTACAGCTTCGCCTGCTGCCGCGCGCGCAGCGGCCGTTGCCTTTTCCGCTCGCATCTAATACTGTAGGTCTCACGCTCAGCTCGCGGGATACACTCTCCGATCCGCGAATCCCTCCTCCGTTCCCCAGTCCGCGCGACATTCTTTCCGCCCCGCTTACAGCTTCTCCGCTACCCTGTCATCGCGGGAGGCTCTTCAGCAGCAGCAGCAGCGGTGGCGGCAGTTGGCGCCGGCGATGGCGAGGGAAGCGGAAGAGACAACAATGGCGGGGGACAAGAACAGCGACAGCAGCGGCGGGAGCAGGAGCGTGAGGCGCAAGGGCAAGCGCGAGAGTGGACTTTGAAAGACGCGCTGCGGCAGCTGTACAAGCGAGTGCATCCCGATACGCTCCACAACCACCCGCACGAACGAGTGAGCGTTTCCGCAGATCATTACACCCACGCCACGTGGCGGTGTTTGCCGCCGCGCATTCTGCCGCTCCCTTTCACGCCTGCTGCTGCTGCTGCTGCTGCTGCTGCTGCTGCTGCTGCTGCTGCTGCTGCTGCTGCTGCTGCTGCTGCTGCTGCTGCTGCTGCTGCTGCTGCTGCTGCTGCTGCCACTTTTGTTGCTGCCGCGCCTGCAGTTGCGGCCACCATCTCAAGCAATCGCTCCCCTTGTCCCCCCCTCCTCTCCTCATCCTCTTTCGCTTCTTCCCCACCTCAGGCAGCCAATGAGTGGTCGTCTCAGCTGCTGCAGGGGTACCTAGCACCAGCGGCTCACACATGTAAGGCGTCTCAACAGTTCGTTTTTCTCGCTCTGCCCTTCCCCCCTCCTCCCTTCCCAACCCCTTCCCCCCACCTCAGGCAGCCAATGAGCGGTCGTTTCAGCTGCTGCAGGAGTACCTAGCAGCGGCGCACATCACATTTGAAACGTCTCAACGGTCCATCCCCTCACTGTTTCCCCTCCCCTCTCCCTCACCCTTCCGCCTTCTCCCCCTTTCCCCCGGTCAGGCAGCGAACGAGCGGTCTTTTCAGCTGCTGCAGGAGTACCTAACAGCGGCGCACATCACAGGAGCGGGCAGCAGGGCTAGCGGCATGGGCGCTGCTGCTGCTGCAGCAGCAGCTGCAGCATCGGGGTCGCGCCGGTCGTATGAATTCGAGTTCTTCATTCGGGAAGAAATCAGCAGCAGCAGCAGCGGCAGCAGCAGCGCTGCTAGCAGCACTAGCAGCGGCGGCTCGGTTCTGTTCCGCCACGTCACCATGGCGCTGCCTCCCCCGCAGCGCCCGCGTGTGGTGGGCGGCTCCATCCCTCTGCGCACGCGCATGGCTCTCTCACAACTCCTAGACGCCTGCGGCCTCCCCCCCCACCTCTCCAACGCCCTCGCCTCTGCCTCTGCTGGTTTTGCTCCTGCTGGTGGTGGCGGCATGGGTGGGGAGGGTGTTAGGCTGTCTGAGTTGCTTGTAGAAGCAGCTGAGATTCAGAGGCAGTGCGAGGCTGGGTGGACGGATGGGGCTTGGAATGGGGGCAGCAGCAGCGGCGGCGGCAGCAGCGGCGGCAGCGGCGGCAGCAGCAGCAGAGTGAGCAGCTTGGTTCGCGATCGGGCGATGATGGTGCATGTGCTGCGAATGGTGCGAGGGGTCACTGTTCACTTCCAACCACCTCCATCCCTATCATCCTCATCACCCACATCACCAGCAGCAGCAGCAGGAGCAGCAGGTTCCTCCTCTACATCCTCCCTGTCCTCCTCACACCCCCACCAGCAGCAGCAGCAGCAAGAGGTGCTGTTGTTAGAGCAGCTGATTAAGGCTCTCGATCGCAACCCAGACACAGACCTGTCGGGGAGCCAAGTCGTCATCGGCAGCGGCGGTGGTGGGTACGGCATCGATTCCCAAGGCCGCGTGTGGTTGCCTCAGGGCGACGACTTGAGCGCATGGGGGGACTGGCTGGCCGGGGTAGACACAAGTGTGGTGCAGAGGAGGCGGGCGAGGGCGGTGGAACGGCGGAGGAAGGAGCGGGCGGCGGCGTGTGGGATGGAGGTAGAGGTGGTGTTTACTGATGGGGCAACGGCGGGGTTGGGGGTGTATGAGGGGTTTTTGGAGCGGGTGATTGAGCATGCGGAGGAGCATGGTGCTGTGTGCGACGGGCGGCTTTTCGAGCTGCCCGTTCGCGTTCTAGGGTACGCGGAGGGCCGGATAGGTGGAGGGGGAGGAGGAGAGGAAGGGGGAGGAGGAGGGGGGGGAGGGGGAGAGGGAGGAAACGGAGATTGGCTTGTGGATGGAGGGTGGTTACCCAGCTGGAGCGGAGACAGGTTTCTCCCGCAGCAACGCACTTCCTCAGCTTCCTTTTCCCGCTCCTCCTTCTCCTCTTCTGCGTCTTCTCCTTCTGCTGCTTCTGCCGGCGCCAGAGCTTCTGCTGCTCCTCTCCGTGCGGCTGATTTCTCCATCGACCGTTGCTTCGGCTATGCAGCAGTGCCGGTCACAGCCACACCCACGCAGG